TGGAGTGGAGATAGAGGTCAAATCCCCATGTGCAAATTTGGAACATGTACAAAGCTCCTCTCCAGGGTCTTATCCCCAGAGGGAGCCCTGACCAGTCCCGATGTCGTTTTTCTGGGGGAAGGAGATCATGACATAGAACCTTCATGCAAGATGACTTATCTCCCAGGAGAAAGTCGTTATACCGCAGACCTCTCCTGTGCAGTGCTTAGCCTTGCAACTCCTTGGGCTGCTGAAGCCTACCCACTCTATCCCGTGCAATGAGACTAGCCTCGTGGGGTGCAAGAGCCGGGAGGCCAGCGACCTATTGCTTTAACATGGTTAACCAAATGTCAGGGGAGGCTCCGTGTTCTAAGGCAGCAAGTGCTTGTGCCACCATCACTTTGTCTCTTTTGTTTGGGCTCTGAGCTTACACACCATCCAAAGCATCAACACTATTCCACAGCAGAGAACTAGGCTAAATGATCCCACCCCCACCCATTCCTTAAAATAAGAAAATGCAGATGAAATCCAGGAGGAGAGGCCTTCCATCAGAGAAAGATCCAGACGCGTGGAATTCACTTGCAGGATCGCCACTCTCAACTCACGGAGTGTCTGCTCAAACTCAAAAGTCCAATTCTGTAATAAATGTTGAGACAGAGCTTTTGACAGGTTAGCTGCTCTTGTAAAATTCTCATATTGTACTGAAGTGAACACAAAGGCCAGGCAACTTTTGTTCACATCCCAATTGGGCCATCTGCCACAATATATCCAATTGTTCCTGAACCAAATTAATCTGTTGGTTTACCAACATCAGGCCTCCTTGTATCTGAGAATTGGCAGTGGCCTGTTTATCTAGGGCCATGGTCACAGTGGCCGATAGTTCATTAATGGTTTGAGTTGTCTGCACAGTGGCGGAAAGTGCAAGGGCCGAGGCGGTAACCGAAGCAGTAACCGCGGCGGCAGCTATCAGGCCCACAATAATAGCAGAGATCCCAAAAATCTCGCTTTTCCCTAAACAAACTCAAACTACTTGGCACCTCAACAGGAACTGGAACAAATCGAGGCATGCGCATTACCAAAGCAAAAGGGTGCTTAATAGCATCCCAGCATAATGCATAAAAACAATTCTAAGCAGAGCAATTTATTTCTTTCTGATTCTTACCTAAGGTATCATTACTCACAACCCAAATAAAGGGCAGCCAAACACAAATTGGAGCAGCTGAATAATTAGTTCTCTTAAAAGGGGTATACTTAACATTGGAGGAGGACCAATCAGATGATCCAGAGCTCTGTCCCTCACTCAGACTGTTGCCTAATGCCCCTTTCCAATCAAAAGTAATCTGTCCCTTCTCACTATATCCTCCAGCAATCATTGCCATAGGAGAAAGATTAGTACAGCTTCCATTAATTCAAAAGGATTAGCATTAGATCTTTCTGGATCCATATGAATAAAATTATCCTTTAATGAAGAAATCACAGTAAAGCACAAGCTTCCTACCAATGACAAGATTCTCTCATCCTGAAAACTCTGTATCTGAGGATCTAAAGGCAAAAGGCAAGCCCCAACTCTCTATTAGTTGTGAAAAATCTAGGGAACTCCTGGGCATTATGCATCACTGGCATCGGTAGGGGGAAGGTAGACATGATGGCCCACCGTAACTCTCCCATCATACTAGGAACCATCATCCCGAGTAGGAGAGTCTTCATCACCCACTTGGCCTCCATCCTTCTTATTCTGGAGTTGTGAAGGAGCTCTTCGAGTGAGTCTTTCAGGGATCCACAGGGGGTTTTCTTCCTCCTGTGGAAAAACACACACAGCTCCCCTGGATCTTATAAGAATAGGATCCGGGCCTTTCCAGAGATCAGTCAAGACATCTTTCCATTTTACCATTTCTTTTGGCCTATCAGGCTCTAAACTGTGGCGATCGGCCGCAGTGTGGCCTTGGGCATCAGAGTTCAAGAAATTAAGGGTAAAAAGTGCCATGGACACAGCAACTCTTGGTACCGAGGGTAGAACATCCTCAACACTCCCCTTTTGTTTAATCAGATATGATTTGAGTGTACGATGGGCACGTTCCACAATGCCCTGTCCTTGAGGGTTATAAGGTAGGCCAGTTAGATGGGTAACATCCATTTGCCGACAAAACTGTCGGAATTTTTGAGAGGTATATGCTGGTCCATTGTCTGTTTTTAAAATTCTGGGTTTTCCCCAAGCACTCCAGGCCTCAAGGCAATGTTGAATCACATATGAGGCCTTTTCCCCTGTTAGGGGCATGGCAAACATTACGCCAGAACAGGTGTCAACAGAAACATGAACATATTGAAGCCTTCCAAAAGAGGGAATATGAGTAACATCCATCTGCCACATCTGCAATGGTCTAATGCCACGTGGGTTTATTCCCACGTGGGGAGCAGGTAAGAATTCGCAGCAATTCTGGCATTGAGTAACAATTTCCCTAGCCTCTTTCCTGGATAGAGCAAAACGACGGCGCAAGGTCTCAGCCATCACATGAAAGCGCTGATGGAACTCTTTTGCTGCTTGTGCGTGGGTAGACAAGGCAGCGGCCACCAGCTTTGTAGCCTTGTCCGCTAAGTCATTCCCTAAGGACATGGGACCTGGGAGTCCAGAATGTGCTCGGACATGGGTAATGAAAACAGGAAATCTCCTATTTAACAAGGCAGCTTGTATCTTCTGAAAGATGTTAGCAACTCTGCTGGAGGATCTTATTATTCCAGCTATCTCAAGGAGATTAACTGCATTAACCACATAAGAGGAATCTGATACAATATTGAGGGGTCCTGGAAAAGCCTCAAGAACCTCCAGTACTATCAGACATTCTACAACTTGAGGTGAAGTTTCATTATATTGTTTAGATATAACCCTATCCTTGACCACATAAGCTCCCATACCAGTTTTCGATCCATCAGTGTACACCACAGTCCCATCTGGGAGTGGGTCTTTAGCTGTCACTTGTGGAAACACTATAGCCTGGTTTAGGGCAAACTGTAAAATTGGATGCTTTGGAAAATGATTATCAATTTGTCCTGAAAAGGAAGTAACTAAAACTGCCCAATCACTAGATGTGGCTGCCAAGGTCTGAACTTGTGCAGCAGTATAAGGCACAATCAAGGAATCAGGATCCCTGCCAAAATGCGTAACAGCTGCTTTTATTCCGCTAAGCGCGAGCTGTGCAACAGCATCAGGGTACCAGTCAATAATCTTAGCAGGGGAAGCATTTGGATGAATCCAAAGTAATGGTCCATGTTGCCACAGGACTGCAGTTGGCAATTGAGCTGTCTTAAAAACACACAGATTAAAAGGTAGTGACTCCTCAATACGTTGTAATTGTGCTTCCTGTAAGGCCTCTTCCACCATCTGTAAGGCTCGGTGGGCGGCAGGGGTAAATTTTCTGGGTGAGGAGATATGAGGCTCACCCTCCAGGAGATCGAAGAGGGGTTTTAGATCAGCAGATGGAATTTTTAAAAAGGGCCTCAACCAATTTATATCTCCCAGAAGTTTCTGAAAATCATTTAATGTTTGTAAGTGGTCTTTGCGAATTTCTATTTTCTGAGGAACTATATTTTTGGGAGTAATCATTGAGCCCAAAAAGAGGCCTGTATCTGCAATTTGAACCTTTTCTGAGGCAATCTCTAATCCCCACTGTTTTAATTCAGCCACCAGCATGGGAAAAGCATTTTGTAAAACATCTAACTCTTTGTGACAAATAAGAATATCGCCCATATAATGGATCATGATTAAAGATGTAAATTGCTTCCTAATTGGCTCCAAAGCCTCCTGCACATACAGCTGACATATTGTTGGGCTATTGGCCATGCCTTGCGGCAGTACCTTCCACTGAAATCTCTTGTCTGGTTCCATATGATTAAGAGAAGGGATAGTGAAGGCAAACCTTGGCCTATCCTGTGGGTAAAGTGGAATAGAGAAGAAACAATCCTTAATATCTATAATAATAAGCTTCCAATCTTGAGGAAGTGCAGAAAGCAAAGGAAGTCCTCTTTGAACAGGGCCAAAAAGATGCATCTGATTGTTAATGGCCCGCAGGTCATGGAGTAATCCCCACTTCCCAGATTTCTTCTTAATAACAAAAATTGGTGTATTCCATGGGGAGGTAGAAGGCTCTAGATGCCCCAGCCGTTCCTGTTCTTGCACTAATCTTGTGACAGCCTCTAATTTTTCAGAGGATAGAGGCCATTGAGAGACCCATAACGGCTCCTCTGTTTTCCACGGTATGGGTCGTGAAGCCTCAACAGCCCCTAAATAAAACCCAGTCCTTTTCTACCTCGATTTCCATGTTGTGTAATGGGTTTTATTCTGCCTTGTTCTTGCCTACCCAAGCTTCTACCCTTTGTATACCCCATCTTTGCCATAATGGCTGATGCCTGGGGGGAGTATTCATTAGTTAGGGTCATGCCCATGGTTTGTAACACATCCCGTCCCCATAAATTTACAGGGAGTGGCAACACATAGGGGGTAAAACATCCCTGTTTGCCCTCAGCGTTCCGCCAGGTTAAGGCTGAGGCACTGATGGCAGGAGAGGACTGGTATCCAAGACCTTGTAGAGAATGAGATGAAACAACAGTGGGCCAAGACTTCGGCCACCAATGGAGTGAAATAATGCTTTTGTCTGCTCCCGTATCCATTATCCCTTCAAATTCTTTTCCATTAATTACCAATTTTATTGTAGGTCTCTCATTTAGGGGTATAGCCAGATAGGCTGAATCACTTCCGGAAGATCCCATAGCCCTTTTTTGTAAAGTGTAGGTTTCTCCATCCCCGAGGGAGGGCAGCAACACCAGTTGTGCAATTCTATCTCCCTGCTTTATAGAAAATACACCCCGAGGGCTAGAACAGAGAACTTGAATCTCCTCTTTATGATACGGGTCAACAATCCCAGGATATATAATGAGTCCCTGTAAAGTTAAGGAGCCACGGCCCAGAATAAGCCCAATGGTGGCAGGGGGCAAAGGTCCAGGAGAATGGACTGGGACCGGTTGAACATTCATTTGGGGCATGAGTAAGAAGTCAGAGGCGGCATGCAAGTCCATTCCGGGGGTTCCTCGGAAGCCTCTACTTCCTCTTGATTGCTTTTCTGAAATCGGTTCCCATATTTCTGAGGCCCTGGGACCATGGGCCCCGTGACCCGTTTTTTGATTGGGGTACCTTGGGTTCTTCAATAGGGGGCAGAAGCCTCCCTTTCATGTCCTGGACTGACCTGCATTCACTAGCCCTATGATAACCTTTACCACAACGACGGCAAAGCTCCAGCTCTCTTGTTCTTTCAGGGGATTGACAATCTTTCTTAAGGTGCCCCATTTTCCCACAATTAAAACAAGCTTTTCGACTAGATAAATCTCTATGCCTGTGCGTTTGTAAAATGGCGGCAGCTAGTCCTGCATTGGTTAGGGGTCCCCCCAGCTCCCTGCACACTCTGAGCCAATCTTGTAAACCTTTGCTTTTGCGAGGGGCGATAGCCGCTCGACATTCCTGGGTTGCTTGTTCATAGACAAGTTGCTCAATCAGGGGCATAGCTTGTTCTGAATCACCAAAGATGCGACTGGCGGCCTCGGTCATTCTGGCCACAAATTCTGAAAATGGCTCTTGGGGTCCTTGGACAATCTTTGTAAGGTGTCCACTGGATTCTCCCCTTTTTGTGAGGGCCTTCCATGCTTTAATAGCGGCGGCCGACACCTGACCATAGACGCCCCAGATGTAGTTGGTTTGATTAAGGGCATGTTGACCCTGACCTGTCAGCATTTCAAATGTCCACTGCCTCTGATTCTCATCTTCAGCTGTGGCATTAACTCTAGCTTGCGCCAGGGCTGCATCATACCAGAGAGCCTTCCATTCCATGTATTGTCCCATGTTGGGAAGCACTGCTTTCACTGTCGTCTGCCAGTCAGTGGGAGTCATGGCAAAATTAGCAAGCCATTCCACCTGTATTGTGGTAAAGTTAGCATTGACCCCATAATTACGAACGGATTCCGCCAATTCTTTGATTTGATTGTAATCTACGGGGGTATGTACTCTTCCGCCTTCCGCATTCTCGAATACTGGAAAAGCCATTTGTATTTTTCTCCGTTCCTCTAAAGGTAAAAAAGGAGTCAGTACCAGTATTCAGCCGAAGCTCATACTGCGGAGGCGCCGAGGGGCGTGAGCCCGCCGGATTTATAGGCGGTGGCCTCACATTCATTTTTGTTTTCAGCGGCCGGTGTCTATCAGGGTGATATCTTTCTTCCTCATACCGTGCCACCTCCTCCTCTAGACCACCTTCTTCGCTAGAATCCAGAGTGTCAGAATCGGAATTATCCTGCTCCAAGGCTTCTAGCTCTACCGTAGGGTATAGGCTAGATTCTGGCTTTTTCTTTTTCTTAGATTTGTTAGGGGGTGAATGATCACTCCCTTCTTTCTCTCCCCCTTTCTTAACTTCTTGGGGAGGGCCTTTTTTCTTAGACATGTCTTTCCTTTTGTGAGCTCCCATTCTCTCACTCCGTTCAGTTTCTGACATGCTATCCTGAACTTCCTCTAAGGTTCCCTGACTTTCTACTATAGCAGGGTGACAGGCCTCATCCTCCAAGCAGTTTTTAACTAGCTTCCAAATGGCTTTGGTACCTAAGCGGAGATCTCCTTCTTCATGCTTCCTGTCTAGTTCTTTACCTAGCTTGTTCCATGAGGCCACAGTGAGGGACCCGGAACAAGCATACCATGGTGCCACTCTATCTACCTCCTTCACAAAATTTTGAAGTGTTCGTGGTGCAATTTTGAGATCTCTTTGTTTTAGCACAGTCTGTAGGGCAGTAACCACTGACTGTGACAATCCCATCGCGCTGGCGGCTTATCTAAAAAAACGGCGCTCAACTCCTTTACCAGACTGACAGCACCGTTCTGTCAGCACCAGCCACGATGAAGAAGGACAAACAGGACTAGCACCAAAGCCTCCACTGACCCGTCCCACGGTGATGACAAACTAAGGCCAAAGTTGAGAAAAGGGGTGTTCAGGATCAAGCATACCTCTCTGAACTTACGTCCCTGCAGTTCTGAATCCGCCCCGTCTTCTGAGGGGTCTCCCGCGGTGCCGGCGATGTTGAAGAGTTCGCGGGTTTCGGCACCAGATGTCCCGCGCTACCGTCTCGCCAGCAAGAAAGACACAGGACACTCGGATCCTTCTGCAGAAAACCTTTAATACATCTTGAGAGATAAATGATCAGCTTCTGAGAGGGAGACCCCAAGCTAAGAAACCCAGCCCCTTATATAAGCCTAGGAGCTCCGAGTGAGACGTGTAGAGCCGGGATTGGTGGTTTGCTCATCACCCCAGATGACGGGTGAGGCACAGCTTAAACGGTAAACTCCAACTGACAGCAGATGTCAGCGCCATCTTCTAATGGCGATAGCGATAGCAAGGGTGGCTCCTCACAACATTAAAAAAACACAATCTGAAGAAAGGCAGAAAATAGAAAAGCTGCATAAACAGTCAGGCACTACCAATACAAGCATAACCAACAGATTAGAAGAGATGGAAGAGAGAATCTCAAGTGTTGAAGATACACTAGGAGAAATGGATTTATCAACCAAAGAAAACCTTAAATCCAACAAATCCTTAACACAAAACATCCAGGAAATATGGGACACCATGAGAAGACCAAAGCTAAGAATAATAGGTATAGAAGAAGGAGAAGAAATCCATCTCAAAGGGGCAGAAGGCATATTCAACAAAATCATAGAAGAAAACTTTCCCAACCTTAAGAAAGACATGCCAATGAAGGTACAAGAAGCCTAAAGAACACCAAATAGAGTGGACCACAAAAAAAAATCCCCTTGCCACATAATAATCAAGACCCCAAACATGCAGAATAAAGAAAGAATATTAAGAGCAGCTAAGGAAAAAGGTCAAGTAACATATAAAGGCAGACCTATCAGAATTACACCTGATTTCTCCATGAAAACTCTGACAGCCAGAAGGGCCTGGATAGATATTCTACCAACACTAAGAGACCATGGATGCCAGCCCAGACTACTATACCCGGCAAAGCTCTCAATAACTATAGATGGAGAAAACAAGATATTCCATGACAAAACTAGATTCAAGCAATATGTGTCCGCTAACCCAGCCCTACAGAAAATTTTGGAAGGAAAACTCCAAACCAAGGAAGCTAACTACAACCAGAAAAACATAGGCATTAGAGAATCCCTCTCGACCAACAGCCAAAAGAACAAAGGGGTGAAATTCCACACATAATTCCACCAACAACAACCATTGCAAATCGAAGAAGGATGAGCAATCACTGGTCATTAATATCCCTCAATATTAATGGCCTTAACTCACCCATAAAAAGACACAGACTAGCAGAATGGATTCGAAGACAGAACCCTTCCTTCTGCTGCATACAAGAAACACACCTCACCCTCAAAGACAGACATTACCTGAGAGTTAAAGGTTGGGAAAAAATTTTTCAATCAAATGGACCCAAAAAACAAGCAGGGGTAGCAATCCTAATATCTAACAAACTGGACTTTAAAATAAAATCAATCAAAAGAGATGAAGGAGGTAATTACATACTCATCACAGGTGAAATCCACCAAGATGAAGTGTCTACCCTGAAGATCTATGCCCCAAATACAAAGGCATCCACATTCGTTAAAGAAACATTATTAGAACTTAAATCTCATCTAAAGCCCCACACAGTAATAGTGGGGGATTTCAACACACAACTCTCACCACTAGACAGGAATACCAGACAGAAACTCAACAAAGAAGCAAAGGGTCTAATAGAAGTAATGACCCAACTGGGATTAACAGATATCTGTAGAACATTTCATCCACATAAAAAAGAATATACCTTCTTCTCACCACCACATGGAACCTTCTCAAAAATCGACCACATACTTGGCAAAATATCAAACCTCAGCAGCTACAAAAAATTGGAATAACTTCATGCATCTTATCAGACCACCATGCTTTAAAATTAGAATTCAACAACAACACAAATTGGAGAAAACCTACAAACTCATGGAAATTGAATAATGCTCAACTGCACCATCCCTGGGTCAAAGAGGAAATAAAAAAGGAAATTAAAGACTTCCTTGATTTCAATGAGAATGAAGACACAACATATCCAAACCTATGGGACTCTTTGAAAGCAGTGCTACGGGGGAAGTTCATAGCACTAAGTGCTCACATGAAGAAACAGGAAAACAGTTATAACAGAGAATTAACATCACAGCTAAAAGCTCTAGAACACAAAGAAGCAAACTCCCCCAGGAAGAGTAGACGCCAGGAAATAATCAAATTGAGGGCTGAAATCAATAAAGTAGAAACCAGGAAAACAATACAAAGAATCAATGCAATGAAGAGTTGGTTCTTTGAGAAAATCAACAAGATAGACAAACCTTTGTCCAAACTTACCAAACAGCAGAGAGTGAACATGCAAATTAACAAAATCAGAAATGAAAAGGGGGACATAACAATGGACTGTGAGGAAATCCAGAGAATCATCAGGTCATATTTTGAAAACCTGTACTGCACAAAATTTGAAAACTTAAAGGAAATGGATGACTTCCTGGATAGCTATCACTTGCCAAAACTAAATCAAGAACAGATAAGCAATTTAAATAGACCTATAACCCCTATGGAAATAGAAGCAGTCATCAAAAGTCTCCCAACCAAAAAAAGTCCAGGTCCAGTTGGCCTCAGTGCAGAATTCTACCAGAAATTCAAAGAACAGCTTATACCAATTCTTCTCAAAGTATTCCACACAATAGAAGCAGAAGGGTCTTTGCCAAACTCTTGCAATGAAGCTTCAATAACCTTGACCCAAGCCACACAAAGATACAACTAAGAAAGAGAACTTCAGACAAATATCCCTCATGAATATTGATGCAATAATACTCAATAAAATACTGGAAATCGGATCCAAGAACACATCAAAACAAGCATTCACCACGATCAAGTAGGTTTCATCCCAGGGATGGTTCAACATACGAAATTCCATCAACATAATCCACCATATAAACAAGCTGAAAAACAAAAATCACATGATCATCTCACTAGATGCTGAAAAAGCCTTTGACGAAATCCAACACCCCTTCATGATAAAGGTCCTGGAGAGATGTGGGATAACAGGGACATACTTAAACATAATAAAAGTTATATACAGTAAACCAACAGCCAACATCAAACTAAATGGACAGAAACTAAATGCAATTCCTCTAAAATCAGGAACAAAACAAGGCTGCCCACTCTCCCCATACCTTTTCAACATGGTAGTTGAAGTTCTAGCTATTGCCATATGACAACAAAGGGGGATCAAGGGGATACAAATTGGGAAGGAAGAGGTCAAACTTTCACTGTTTGCAGATGATATGATAGTTTACATCAATGACCCAAAGAACTCTACCAGGGAACACTTACAGCTGATTAACATCTTCAGCAAAGTGGCAGGCTACAAGATCAACTCAAGAAAATCAGTAGCCCTACTACATACAGATGATAAAAGGGCTGAAAGAGAAATCAGAGAAACATCACCCTTTACAATTGCCACAAACAACATAAAATACCTTGGGGTAACGCTAACCAAACAAGTGAAAGACCTGTATCTCAAGAACTTTGAATCTTTAAAGAAAGAAATTAAAGAAGCACTCAGAAAACGGAAAGATCTCCCATGCTCTTGGATAGGTAGGATCAATGTAGTAAAAATGGCAATCCTGCCAAAAGCAATCTACAGATTCAATGCAAACCCCATTAAAATCCCAGCACAATTCATCACAGACCTTGAAAGAACAATAATCAACTTTGTATGGAAAAACAAAAGACCCAGGATAGCCAAAACAACCCTGTTCAACAAGGCAACATCCGGAGGCATCACCATCCCTGACCTCAAGCTCTATTATAGAGCTATACTCCTGAAAACAGCTTGGTATTGGCACAAAAATAGACAGGTAGACCAATGGTATCGAATTGAAAACGCGGTATTAACCCACACACGTACGAACATCCAATCTTTGACAAAGAAGCTAAAAATATACAATGGAATAAAGAAAGCATCTTCACCAAATGGTGCTGGCATAACTGGAGACTGGCATGTAGAAGAATGCGGATCGAT